TGTGCATTTATTGGTATAAACTGACCTCTGAGCACTGCTTTTGCTGTGTCCCAAAGGTTCTGGTAGGATGTGTTCTCATTTGATTCTATGAATTTCTTTATTGTATTCTTAATTTCTTCTATAACCCAGTAGTTTTTGAGCAAGGTGTTGTTCAGTTTCCATGTGGTTGATTTTTTTTCCCTTGCTTTTTCTGTTGTTGATTTCTACTTTAATGGCTTTATGGTCAGAAAAGATGCTTTGTAATATTTTGATGCTTTGGATTTTGTTAAGGCTTGCTTTATGGCCAGATATGTGGTCTATTTTGGAGAATGTTTCATACGTGTTGGAAGAGAAAGTATAGTTGGCTGCTGTTGGGTGAAGTGTTCAGTATATGTGTATCAGATCAAGTTGGTTGATTGTAGCATTTAGCTCTTCCGTGTCTTTGTTGAGCTTCTTTCTGGATGTTCTGTCATTCACCAAAAGTGATGTGTCGAAGTCTCCTACTATTATTGTGGAGCTGTCTGTCTCTCTTTTCAATGCTGTTAGAGTTTATTTTATGTATTTTGGAGCCCTGTCCTTGGGTGCGTAAATATTTATTATAGTTATGTCCTCCTGGTGTATTGCCTCTTTAATCATTATGTAGTATCCTTCGTTATCCTTTGTGGTGGATTTCACTTTAAAGTCTACTTTGTCAGAGATTAATATTGCCACTTCTGCTCTTTTTTGACTGTTGTTTGCTTGATATACTTTTTCCATCCTTTGAGTTTTAGTTTGTCTGTGTCTTTAAGTCTAAGGTATATCTCTTGTAGGCAGCATAAGATGGATCATGTTTTTTTAATCCAATCTGCCACTCTCTGTCTCTTGATTGGTGCATTTAGTCCATTTACAGTCAGCCTAATTATTGACAGGTATGAGATTAGTGCTGTCATTTTGATGTCTTTTTTTGTGTGCTGTTGACAGTTTCTTTGTTCCTCTTAGTTTTCTGTGCTGAGTCATTTTTCTTTATGTATTTTCTTTTCATCTTTTTCATTGTTGTTGATTTTGTATTAGTTGAGTCTTTATATTTTTGTTGTATTTTATTTTGACTTGTAGGATTGTTAGTTTCCTTTGTGGTGACCTTAATATTTACTGCTATTTTTCTGAGTTTACACTAGTCTTTTATTTCTTTATATTGCTTTGACTTCCTTTGCATATGAGAAATCTCTGTTTACATTTTTTAGTTTGTCTATTTTGCTTTAATGTTGTCATCTTTTACGTACTGACATCTCTGTTTCCCTATTTTCAGTGTTTTAGCTTTGATTTATTTTTGTGACTTCCCTATCTGGGTTGATATCTGATTGGTCTGTTCTGTGTTCTAGTCTTGGGTTGTTATCTGTTGTTATTGATTTTCTAACCAAAGGACTCCCTTTAGTATTTCTTGTAATTTTGATTTGGTTTTTGCAAATCTCTAAACTTTTGTTTATCTGGAAATGCCCGGATTTCACGATCATATTTGAGAGACAGTTTTGCTGGGTATATAATTCTTGGCTGGCAATTTTTTTCCTTCAAGGTTTTACATATGTCATTCCATTGCCTTCTTGCCTGCATGGTTTCTACTCAGTAGTCTGAGCTTATTCTTATGACTCTGCTTGTAGATGACTTTTTGTTTATCCCTAGCCTCTCTTAAAACTCTCTCTTTACCTTTGGTTTTGGCAATTTTGAGTATAATATGTCTTGGTGACTTTCTTTTGGAATCTACCTTATGTGGGGTTCGATGAGCATCTTGGATGGATATTTTCTCATTTTTTGTGATATCAGGGAAGTTTTCTGCCAACAAATCTTCAACAATTCTGTCTGTATTTTCTGTTATCCACCCCTGCTCTGGTGCTCCAGTCACTTGTAGGTTATTCCTCTTGATAGAATCCCACATATTCTTAGGGCTTCTTCATTTTTTTAAAAATCCTTTAATTTGATTTTTCCTCAAATATGTTGGTATCAAGCGCTTTTTCTTCAATCTCACTAATTCTGACTTCTATTTCCTCAATTCTGCTCCTATGACTTTCTATTGTGTTTTCTAATTCTGACATTTTATTGTTAATCATCTGGATTTCTGATTGCTGTCTGTCTATGGATTCTTGCAGCCTGTTAAATTTGTCATTATGCTCTTCTCGAAACTTTTAAAGTTCCTCTATTGTATGTTCTGCATTTTGCCTAATTTTCTTCCTGATCTCTTGAAGAGTTCTGTATATTAATCTTTTTTATTTTGCCTCCCGTAATTCCAAGAAATTTTCTTCCTCTGGAAAATTTCTAGACTCTTTAGTTTTGGAGCTTGCTGAAGCCATCATGGATTGCCTCTTTATGTGATTCGACGTTGATTGTTTTCTAGGAGCCATCAATAAGTTATTATATTTATTTATTTTATGTTTGCTTACTGTGTCCTAGCTTCTTATTTTGTTTTGTTTTGATATGCCCAAATAGACTTCTTGTATGAGTTGGCCTGATCACTGGCTCCCCTGAAGCTGTAATGTCCTGCCTCCAGGTGGCCAGACCTGCCACTAAATATGTGAGACCAGGAGTCTGCCCACTCGCCCTGTATGGATTAAGGTCAGGTGTCCAGGTAGTTGACCACCAAGTGTGTGGTGCAGTGTTTCATCTACAGTCCTAGACAGGCATGGGTGACTGGTATAGGCACAGGCATCCGGCTGCAGCAGGGGGACATACGCTGAGGAAGACAGTGGGCTGACAGCCTCCCCTGTGTGTCCAGGAGGAAAACCTGTCACTGTTCCCTAGAGTGCTTATGTGGGTGGGTTTTGCAGCCAGAGTATGGGCACCAAGTGCTGTTGGCTGTAAGGACTGGGGGGCATCTCTTATTCTTGGGCACCTATCACAGGTAGCTAGGTGGCATGGGTGGAGCCACCAGTCCTCAGACTCCTGATGTGGGTACTTGTAGACCTTGCTTAATGGCCACAGCAGGGTCAAATGTCACAAACCTGCCACTTCACAAATGAAACAGTTAGATTTCAGGTAGATACCCTGTTGTACTTTGGTAATGAGGGCCTACTCTGTTGACATGGGCCCACACAAGTCTATGCAGGGGAAAGGCACTCAAAGTCCGTGAACTCCTTTTGTCTGTGCCTAGGGAAGGAGCTGTGCCTACCTGAGTTCCTGGCTTAGGGGAGCCAGCAGATTATTTTTTTCCCTGTTTGTTAATTTGTTTCCTCTCCAAGGGCTGGAGAATGGCTCAGGGCGTGTGATGGGTCCTACTTCTGGCCCAGGGGACTCGGCAATCACTGAAGCCGTCCTGCACCCAGTGCAGAGCAGACAGCAGGGAGGTAAACGGGAGAGAATTTTTTCCCTAAGGAGGGTGGTTTTGATCTGCGTGGTAGGTCAGACGCAAGTACTTATTTTTCACCGTTTGAGGGCTGCTTCTCACTGGTTCTGAATGGCTGAGTAGACTCTGTGCCACTGGGTCTCTCCTAATGTGGAAAATGCCTCCTGAGAGCCACTGCTTGCCTCACGGCTCACCCGTGAGTTGATCTGGGCGGAAGGCCTACGGCTCCCACCAGGTCAGCTCTGGTGACTCCTCACTGCTTCTGAACCGTCTCTCCCTCCCCCTGTCAGTCAGTCCAATTGCTCAGCTTTGCCTTTGATGTTCAGGGCTCCTAGACTGTCATATATAATCAATTCACTTGTTTTTTCAAGTCTTTGTTGTAAGAGGGACCACCGGAAGTGTCTGACTACTCGGTCATTTTGGCCCCACCTCAGCACATTTATTTAAAACAGAAATTTTTGCAATCATATTTTTAATTACCAAGAAATTTTTCTTTTCCTTAATATGGTTAAAATTTTCTGATGGTATTATAATTATTTTTAATATTTTTTCAGTGTTCTCAAAATTAACATCTTCAGCTAGTTTTTCTGATTTTAAAGTTGGATATCTCTTACGCCACTGGATTTCTGCAAATACATATTAAGTCTTGTGGTTTTGTTCATATCGACAAGTGAGTTTCCAAATACTTTCAAATATTTATAGTATTAAATGTTGGAGCGTATTTCTTCACCCAAATGAGAACAAGCAATTCAGGTTCTGGTTATAGGAGTCTCATTGGCAACAGATGTGAAAGGAAGGGGACGGGTGACATGCAACCAAAGGACCTTCCTCTGTTGTGTTTGAGCAGTTTCTTTTCCAGACATGGAAGTTTCCTTTCTTCTGTCCACTTTCTTCTGACCCAGCACCCCTTGGGAGAGTGTGGTGTCAAAACTCCCACCTTATAGAACAGGGCTCTCCTAAGAGAGTTGGAATAGCACTACTATTCTCAAATTAAGACAAACCTGACTCCTTGTATACCATTTTTTAAAAATCCTGCCACCTTCTTTCTGCCTCTGATTCTAGCCTCTTTCCCGGCTTCTTCTGAAAAAAGGCAGTAATGAAATGCGTTTTCCTTCTGTTCATATGATGAATTTTTGACACAAAGGATTTTTTTCATCATTTGGCAAGATCATGAACACCAGCTGACCCTTTGAAAATCTCATTGTTTTCAGTAGTCAATGTCACTATGAAAAAATGGCCACTAAGGTCATTGCCTCTGAAGCAGTAAGAGTTATTTTTTAATTGGAATTTCCACAAAAAGTTAGGAATATATCAACACTAAGGTGACTGAGAGAAGCCCTGGTGGTGCAGTGGTTAAAGGACTCGGCTGGTAACCGAAAGGTTGGCAGTTCCGACCCACCAGCACCTCCATGAAGGAAAGATGTGGCAGTCTGTTTCTGCAAAGCTTCATAGCCTTGGAAACCCTACGGGGCAGTTCTACTCTGTCCTATGGGGTGGCTATGAGTTGGAATCGACTCGATGGCAATGAGTTTTGTTTGGTTTTTAAAGTGACTGTTTGCTTTCATCTCTGTCAGCAGGCCAAAGTGCACTGAAGTGAAACAATAGTTATCCAAAAGGTCAAAGACCTAGTACCTATTTGATCAACTTGAACTTAGAATCTATAAAATCTCTGGATTCTAAGCTTTCAATTGCACTTACTCAAAGTGCATCAATGGATCCCTTTATTGTCCTGGTGATTTGCCTTTTTTGTTTGATTCTGCTTTCCTTATGGAATCAGAGATATGCCAAAGGGAAGCTCCCACCAGGCCCCACTCCTCTGCCAATTGTTGGAAATATTCTACAGTTAAACATTAAGAACATCAGCAAATCGATAAGCATGGTAAGTGTGATTTGGTTTATTTTCTTTCCATTGTTTGCAATAAGTAAATAAGAGAGTCTTATATTCAAATAAAATATGGGCCCAGACATCAAGCTGTAAAGAGATGATTTAAAAGGCAGAGTAGAATTGCCCCATATGGTTTCCAAGGAGCGGCTGGTGGATTCGAACTGCTGACCTTTTGTTAGCAGCCAAGCTCTTAACCACTGCATCAACACAGAGGGACTGTAGAAGGAGGCTTGGGAGATTGGAGGTGGGGGAAAGCAGTCATGCAAGGGTTCTCTGAGGAAGTGAAGTTGGAGCTGAGACCTAAAAAATGATTAGGCATTAACCAGAGAAAATACAGATATAATTCTGCTCCAACTTTTTCAGTCTGGGAAAGAGCTGCTTGTTAGAGACTCTGAAAGAGGACCAGTGTGGTTGTAGCCCAGAGAGTAAGTAAAAGAATTATGCAAAATGAGATTGGAGAGATAAGCAGGGGCCAGAAGATGAGGGCTTGCTAGGATTTTAAGAATACTGGTATTTATCATAAGAGCAATGTGCTCAAAGTTGTGCCAAGTTAACATTTGCATTTGGAAAAGATCACTTTGGTTGCTTTAAGGAAAATGAATTGCAGCATGGGAAAAGGAGCACAACACTAGGCGGGTATAAATGTAATATCATTTAGGGTACTGACTAAGGTGTCACAACAGAAAGACTCCAACAATACAATAGCTTAAAGAAGACAGGAATTTCTTTGTATCTCACTTAATGATCCAGAGGTAAGTACTGGTACCTCTCCTCTATGACATAATTCAGAGAACCAGATATGTATTCTCAGTCTTGTTGTTTTTCCATGTTGTGTCCCTAGGCTAGTGTTTTCATCATCACAAAGGAGCCATATCCATGTTACCATTTTCACCCATGGGTAGGTGGAGAAATGTAGGACAAGCAATGATCTTTTTAAAATTTTTAAAATTTTATTGTTGTTGTTGAGAATATACACAGCAAAACAGTATATCACAAAATGAAGGATAACTACATCATTACATGACTGCCAACCTACATCATTACATAATTGCCAGACTACATCATTACATAACTGCCAAACCACTGAGAAGCATGTCCTGGCCGAGGTGACATACACTTTAACAATCACACCCTCCTTTTATGAGTAAGCAATGACCTTTCATGTGACAATGTAGAAATTTCATATATCACTTCTGCTAACATAAGTTCATGGAAACTTAGTCACATGGCCATGTCTTCCTTCTAGGGAAGCTGGGAATTGTTTGTCTCTAAGCTGCCATGTTCTCATGTACTATCAACATTGGGGAATTTCTGGTACTACAAAGTGGATGTGGAGAATGGATAATGAGAGACAATTGTTAACTCTACATGGAGAAAGATGGAGGAACTTCCTTTAAACAGGAGGAAAAATACATTATTTATTGTAACTGCTGGAAGGAAGGAAAGTTGGTGTAATTATAGGTTTGAAGAAAAAGTTAATAAAATAATATGAAAAATATGCATAGTATAGCCCCTGTCACATAATAAGAGCTGAATAAAGGATAATGACTGATGATGATTACAATAATGGCAATAACAATATAATAATTAGCAGTTAAATAATATGTATTGTTAAATTACTGGTTCTAAAAGTTGAAATATTTTCTCATGGGTGGATGAAATATTAAAATGTCTCTTCAGTACAGCTAAAAATATTTTCCTCACTTACTTACATTTTTGATTTTGAAATTTTCACTATTTCTTCCACCTCCTTTTACTTTTCAGCTAGCAAAAGATTATGGTCCTGTGTTCACTGTGCATTTTGGTATGAAGCCCACTGTGGTATTACATGGATATGAAGCAGTAAAGGAAGCCCTGATTGATAGAGCAGAGGAGTTTTCTGGCAGAGGAATTCTCCCAGTGTTTGACAAAATCTGCCAGAACCTTGGTATGCTTCTCTTTGGGGAATGAGTGTGATTTTGTGAGTGGCAAAAATTCCAAATAAGCCAAGGAAATGAGAAACTACAGGCATTTAGAGAAGTTCACGAAAACACATTTCACAATTCTAACATAAGCCTATGAACAATTTTTCCATAAAGGATCATTAATCCATATTCAAAGTCTATGAACGTGACACAATGTCCCCATGAAACATTAAATTTAGTGAAAGCAAACCATGTAAACATGAATGTTCTATGAATTTATAATTAAGACAAATTTATTTTAAATTACGGCCAGTTAAGATAATGAGAAAGACACAGAGAGAAAGAAATAGAGGAAGAGAAAGAGGTATGGAGAGGGAAAGACACAAGAGAAGATGAAAAGAGAGGAAGAAAAATTACTAAACTGTCCTATACATCAAACATGTAGAACGCATGGAAGCAATATAGGTTTGGCACATTTCTAGCCTTGCCTTCAATCTTTTATTCTTCTATAAAAGCACAAGAAATGTTTAAATCTATTAGAATACTAAGGACAGGTATGCTCTGATAAAAAGTTCATGGAGAAATATACAGTAAACATGGATTGGAATTGGCATTTGAAAAGGCCTTTTAATTAAGTACTTAAAACATCTTCAATTTGTTTTTGGAACTGACCTTAAACTGTCCAGTTCTCTGGTCGGTCACTGGGTTCTGGTAAGGAGAGATAAGGCCCTGCGGGGTCCTTTTCTTCTCTGCATTGTTCTCCAAGATGCTTCTTGGAAAACTTTCTTGACTCTGGAAATCTGATGTTGAACTCCCTTGGTGCTAAGACCACTTTTCATGAAAATGTTTTAATAAATACAGGGGAAATGTTAAAATGAGAGGGGTTGTCTTTCAAGGACTGTGTCCCTTATCTGAGGAGCATGTGGTCATGAGCCTCCTTCCAATGCAGAAGAGCTGTTTCATTTTCTCTTGAGAGTTGACTCCTCTTGTTGGCTCTCCTAAAATGCACTTGCAATGCAGAAATGTCAGCTCTCAAAATCTAACCTCTGACTAGATCTCAGCATGATTTACTAGCTGTGTGATCCTAGCTCAAACATTTTGCCTCCATGAACTTCAGCATTCTCCTCAGTAAAATTGGGACAAAACATTGGCTTCACAGAGTTATTCTGAGTCTCAGAAGAGCTAATGGATGAAGAAGATTTTAGTAATCTAGAAAACCAAAAGTTCTGACAGTAAAATAATGGGCTAGGTTACGAAAGGGGGCAGATTAGGTAGGAATCAGTGCGATTTCCTGAGGCTGGAATCACTACATTTACATTCCTGTGTAGGTGTCAGTATTGTTTCCTGACATGAAGAGTCCTACGTAGAATTCATGGCAATAGAGGATATTCTTCTCTGTTTTTTCTTCATGTAGGAGTTGTTGCCAGCAATGGAGAAACATGGAAGCAAACTCGACGTTTCTCCCTCATGATTCTGCGGAATATGGGGATGGGAAAGAAGACTATTGAAGACCGAATTCAAGAGGAGGCCTTGTATCTGGTGGAAGCATTAAAAAAAACCAACGGTGAGTGTTACTTCATGTAATTTTCAGTAATAGTTTGGGTAGATTAAATGCGATAGCAAATAGACTAAAATAATGTATGATGACTCCAAAGTATCAGAAGTTTATTTTTTGCTCACATAAAAGCAGTAAGAGGTGAAATTGTTGTCCTAACAGCCTATTGAGGCACAAGGTTGGTAGGGACTTTGATATCTTCAACATGTGATTTCCAGTGGCACCAAGGATTCATCTCTTTTCCTCGTAGTGGGAGGAGCAAAGACCAAGGAAATGAGCAAATAGTGTTTTTAATAGCCCAGGCAAAGAAGTGGCACACAAACTTCTCTCACATTCCATGGACCATAATGCAGTCACAAGGCCACACTTAACTGCAGTAGTTGTTAAGTGACGTTGAGTTGCTTCTGACTCATAGGAACCTATGTACAACAGAATGAAACACTACCTGGTCCTGCGTCATCCTCATGATAGTTGTTATGCTTGAGCCCATTGTAGCAGCTACTGTGTCACTCTATCTCATTGAGGGTCTTCCTCTTTTTCACTGACACTTTACTTTACCAAGCATGTTGTCCTTCTCCAGGGACTGATTCCTCCTGATAATATATCCAAATTATGTGAGACGAAGTCTTGCCATCCTTGCTTCTAAGGAGCATTCTGGCTATACTTCTTCCAACACAGAATTGTTCGATCTTTTGGAAGTCCATGGTATATTCAATATTCTTCCCCAAAACCACAATTGAAAGGCATCAATTCTTCTTCGGTTTTCCTTATGAATTGTTCAGCTTTCGCATGCATGTGAGGCAATTGAAAACACCATGGCTTGGGTAAAGTATACTTTAGTCTTTAAAGTAAGACTTGCTTTTTAACACTTTAAAGAGATGTTTTGCAGTAGATTTGCCCAACGCAATGTGTTTCGTTTCTTAACTGCTGCTTCCGTAAGTGTTGATTGTGGATCCAACTAAAATGAAATCCATAACGACTTCAGTATACTTAAATATTTATCTTATCTCACCAGTGCTATGAATTGGGAGAATTCATAGAGTCTACAACTTGATTATTCATTTATTTTTGAGACTGGTCTTTTATTGCTTAGAACCTATTGAATGAGAGTTTAAAGACCATCTAGATCAAGTTCAAGTTTTCCAGATGTGCTCTGAATGGCCCTGAGGGATTATCCGAAAGAAACACTTCCTCTTTTTAGCCAGAGCAGGGCTGGTTGGGTTTCTACAGGAATTTTCATTTAAATAAAGTATTGCCTTGATCACAGATGATTGATAAAAATGAATGGTTTAACTTTGCCCATAGAGAGTATGTCCTCTCAGCTTCCTGGTCTATGATCAGCCAGACTCTGCTTGATTCCACTTAGCTATGGGAACCTTAAGGGGCAGTTCTACTCTGTCCTATAGGGTCACTATGAGTTGCAATCGACTCAACGGCAATAGATTTTGTTTTGTTTTTTTATGAAACCTCACAATGTTGGGGCAGCCCCTTTCAACACTGGGTAACTCTAACCGTTGGAAGTTTCTCTCACATGTTTAACAGAGCCTTTTTTTGGTAACTTCTACATTTTGTTTCCTGATAGTTTTTTCTTCTGGAGTTATACTGTTGTAGTGTTCATACTGCAGAGGTGGGATATAACTCTCCCACCAAAAAATCGGTTCAGATGTTAAAACTGATGATGCCACACATACACTATCAGGGTATAGAAAGGTTTCTTACTGACATAATGAAGCTTTCCGTGGAGAGCAGGCTGGCTCCCAAGCAGGTCTGAAAATGACTTGAGAGACCAGGGAAAGGAGACTGGCTTGGAGTTTTTTTATGGTGGTTACGGAGTGGGGTTGGAATGAGGGTTCCTCTGCACAGGCTGCGGCTTGTGTGGTTTGAACGTTCTGTTGATATCTAAGAAGGGAGCACCCAGGCTTTTTTATCTGCATCTCCAAATGTTGGGCAGAGGGGAAGAGGAAGGATGAGACATAAAATGTGTCAACAGGCAAACATCAAAAACTCAAGTCATATGCTTTATTATGTATATATATGAAGCCTATTTCCAATGCTATAATGTATTTTTTCAAATATCTGAATATAACTCTAATTTTTCTTAGTATTATTCTCTTTTACAAGGAAAGCACACCCAGTTCTTTCAACTGGGTTTGCAAGATATGATTTCAAGTCTCCTCAGTCTCCTGATTTTCTTGTTAGGTTGCTCAGTTTCCTGTGGGCATCAGGAGAAGATATCCACAATGAGAGCTGAATCTCACACATTTAAAGATATTTTAAAATGACTTCTTTTTATTTATTTTCGTCCTTGTCAATTAGCTGGCAGTTCTTATTTGGAGAATGATGCAAATAGGAGAATACTTGGGGAAAATTAATAAATAAACCAGACCTGATTAGACAGTTTTAGTTGGGGAAACAAAACAAATTTTGTATTAGGCATGTTGAATGTATTGTGATGGTGGCATGTCCAGGTAGTTCTTATTCCTAAAAAATCCGAAAAGTCAATCCTTCTCTATTATTTTAAACAGCCAATTTAAGATTTATATGAAAGCTATGGTCTAACTTTTAACTTCCATTGTTTTTAGGATCTCCCTGTGATGCTACTAACCTCTTGGGCTATGTTCCCTGCAATGTGATCTGCTCCATCATTTTCCAGAATCGTTTTGACTACAGTGATGAAAAATTAGTAACCTTGATAAACTATTTTCATGAAAACGTCAGAATTGTAAGCAGCCCCTGGATACAGGTGAGGCCAAAATTCTCTTTAAATGGAAAACTGTAAATAGTTTTTCAGTGAATCTATTGTTTATGCTTACCCCATCCCTGTGCTTTATTTGGAAATGGCTAAAGCAACGTTTTTTAAACTATCACTTAGTTGTTAAGAGCTTAGCTGCTAACCAAAAGGTCAGCAGTTTGAATCCACCAGCCGCTCCTTGGAAATACTATGGGGCAGTGCTACTCAGTCCTATAGGGTGGCTTTTGGCTATGAGTCGGACTTGACTCGACGGCAATGGGTAGGGAGTTATCAAATCAATTGAATGAGTTCAAATAAAATTTAAAACATGATATACATTAGAATAAAAATAAAAATATAATATTGGATATTGGAATGCATCAATTTCATTAAGGTATTCTTTGGAAAAACCTTTTGTTATGGGTTGAATTGTGTCCCCCAAAAAGATATGTTAAGGTTCTAACTTTGGTACCTGTGAATGTGAACTTATTTGGAAATAGGGTCTTTGAAGATGTAATTATTTAACATTAAGTTATAATGGATTATGACTGATGTCCTTGTGAAAAAAGAAGAGACAAACACAGGCAGAGATACAGAGGGAAGGCAGGCATGTGAAAACAGAGACAGATTGGAGTTATGCTGCCACAAGCCAAGGAATGCCTTCCTTGGGCTACCAGACACTGGAAAAGACAAGGAAGGCTCTTCCCCTAGAGACTTTGAAGAGAGCATGGCCCTGCTGACGACCTGAATTCAGACTTCTACCCTCAAGAAGTATGAGAGAATAAATTTCTATTATTTTAAGCCACTTACTTTGTGGTATTTCATTATGGCAGTCCTAGAAACTAATACCTAAATATGTGCTAGTGGCTTTAGAATTTGGTAATTTGTATATGGCAGAAGAATTTTGAGGTGTTTGATAGAAAAAGCCTAGATCGTCTTGAAGAGACTGTTGGCAGAATTGCATGTTAAAGAAGATTCTGGTGAGGGCTCAGAAAGAAATGTGGAGAACTGTAGTGAAAACTTCTACTGTCTTAGAATATATATATATATATATATATATATATATATATATATCATTGTGAATGGAATATTCTAGAAACATGAACATTGAAGGTACTTCTGGTGAGCATGGTAATGAGAAACATGTTATTAGACACTGGAGTAAGGGAGACTTGTTATAAACTGGCAGAGAACTTAACTGAAATAAGTTCTATTGTTTAGTGGAAGGTAGAACTTGTAATAGATGAACTTGAATATTGAGATGAGGCGATTTCTATGCAAAGTGTGGAAAGAGCAGCGAGGTTTCTACTTGCTGTTTACAGTAAAATGCGAGAGGAAACGCTAAATTGAGGCATGATTTATTAAGGAAAAAAGGAGCCAGAATTTGAAGATTCAGAATATTCTCAGTCTATTCATTTTGTAAAAAAATGAGAAGTGTGCTCTGGAGACAATATCAAGGGTGTGGCTGTAACAAACATTTGCTAAAGAGATTAGGCTTGTCATTTATGGATGCAATCAACCATCCCAGCAGAAATACTTCCAGCATGGACTGAAAGGGATGGAGATGGGATGAAATGAAGGAAGTCTGTCAGACTTCACAGATTCTACAGGGAGGAAATGAGCCACTAGAGCTAGTCAGCTGTGATTATGTGTTATCTTTCAAGAAAAAGGGAAAAATGACTTTGAGGGTGTAGGCCTGGGGGACAGGACAATGCCTTCTTGGTTGCAGATGGTGGGACTAGCACCTCCTGGGTTCCAGAGGCTACGCTGAGCCAAAAGTCAAAGTTGCCTCAGACTAGGAAAACTTAGGGGCCAATGAGACTTCAGTGGGCCCTTTCTGCCCAGACAGAGGGCAGATTGAGCCACATAAAATTACTCTGAAGCTTTGTAATCTAATAGAAGTTGATTGCTGGGTTTCAGACCTCCTTGGGACTTGTGACCCTCTTTTTCCTTCCAATTTTTCCCTTTCAGAATGGGAATTCTATCCTATGCCTGCCCAATCATTGTATTTGCAAGCAGATAAATTGTTTTCTAGGTTTCTCAGATCCATAGATGGAGAGAAATTTTTCCTTACAATGGACTATACTCAGAATGTCACCCATACCTGATTTAGATGATTTTGGGACTCTTTGAGTTGATTAGATTTAGACAAGATTTTGTCTTAGAGTTGATGCTGGAATGGCTGAGACTTTGGGGATGTTTAAATGGGGTGAATTTGGAAAGGACATGAATTTGGGGTCAGGGAGAAGACAGACTCCTATGGTTTGAATTGTGTTCCCCCAAAAGATATGTTGAAATCTTAACCCCTAATATCTGTAAATATGACCTTATTTGGAAATAGGATCTTTGCAGTTGTAATTCAGTTGACATGAGTTCATACTCATGGAGTAAGGTAAGCCCTAGTCCAATATGACTGGTGTCCTTATGAAAGAGACACAGACAGAGAGACAGAGAAAAGATGGCTATATGAAGCAGAGGGAGAGATTGGAGTTGTGCTGCGACAAACCAAGGGATCACTGGAGCTACCAGAAGTCAGAGGAAACAAAGGATTTTCACCTAGAGACTTCAGAGAGAGCATGCCAACATCTGAATTTAGACTTCGCCAGCCTCTAGAAGAGTGACAACTGTTGTTTTAAGCTAGCCAGTTGGTGGTACTTTGTACAGCAGACCTAGGAAACTGATCCACCTTCGTTTCTGATTTTTCATATGTATAGGTGTACAGAATGGTGATGTAAGATGTATTTCTCACTATGGTACAAGGTGAGAAAATGTTAGTAACCTATGTTGTACAGTCATTAACAACTAAAATTCTGCACAGATCATGAAGTCTTGATGTGTTCCACCTGGAAAGCACCCTAGAGAACAAATAGTCTATCTCCTCATTTTTTGAACAGGAAACTGTGACCTAAAGGTATTAATATTTTCAAAAGTAGCCTTGCTAAGACAAGGAATGGAACAGACCTAAAATCCAGATATCTTGACTTGCCCTCTAGTTTGTTACAAGCTACCAACCTGAATAAATTACTTTGATGCCTACCAGGGAATAAAGGGAATAAGGTGCTGTCTAAAGCAGAGGCAGTGAACTGTAGGACCAGCAATGACCAAATGAGTAAGGTAAATGTGCACATTCCTGAGAGTGTAAAATGTCCAAATAAAAATAAGCCATATGATTTGGACACTTCTTTTTTTTTTTTTTAACCATACTTACTATAGCTTTATTACAACCAAAAAGACCACAAATGAAGAGACTTATAGGGTGAGGTCTGGGAGGGGGTAGAGAGCAAAGCATCCATGTCCCAAAGAGGGACACATTATGCTTTCCTGTCCATGGTCACCAACCAGGAAGCTCCATCTGAGCACTTATCTGCTTCAGAACATGTTCATGATAGATTATATCATGTCTCATAAAGCTTAGTCAGCACTGGGCCCCCAGGTGGTCCTCTTGGTCTGGTCGGCCCCCATTTATTAACCTCAGATGATGGTCCATATAGAAGGAACTGTGAACAAGGACCACAACTCGCAACACTTTATCTGATGAATCTTCCTTCTATTCCTCACTTATGGATTTTTTTCTTTTTATGATGAAAAGGTGTTGGATTTTGTCAAATGCCTTTTCTGCATTGATTGAGATGATCATGTAGTTCTTTTGCTTTGCTCTGTTAATGTGGTATGTTGATTGATTTTCTAATGTTCACCCACCCTTGCATTCCTGGAATAAATCCCATGATCATAGTGTATAATCATTTTAATATGCTTTTGTATTTGTTTTGCTAGTATTTTGTTAAGGATCTTCACATTCATATTCATAAGAAATATTGGTTTTTGGTTTTTTTTTCCTTGTGATATTCAAGTAATGCTTGTTTGGCTTTGGTATCAAAGTGATGCTCGCCTCATAGACTCAGTTAGGAAATGTTCCCACCTCTTCTATTTTTTGGAAAAGTTTAAGAAAGATTGAGTCACTTCTTTTTAAATGTTTGGTAGAGTTCCTCAGTGAGGACTTATGGCTCAGATTATTCTTTTTTGGGAGCTTTTCGATGACTGATTTAATCTCTTCACTTATTATGGATTTATTGAGATCTTCTATTTCTTCTAGAGTCAGTATAGGAAGATTTTATGTTTCTAGGAATTTGTCCATTTCATCTAGGTTATCTAATTTGTTGGTGTACAATTACCATAGTAATCCTTTATGATTTTTTTTTATTTCGGTAGGATCAGTTGTAATGTCCCCACTTCTATTTCTGATGTTAGATATTTGCATCTTCTCTCTTTTGTTCTTTGTCAGTCTAGCTAGAGGTTTGTCAATTTTATTTGTCTTTTCAAAACACCAACTTCTGATTTCATCAATTTGTTCTATTGTTTATTTCATTTGTCTCTGCTCTGATCATTATTATTTCTATTCTTCTAGTAACTTTTGGCTTGGTTTGCTTTTCTTTCTCTAGTTCCTCAAATTGTAAAGTTATAGTGTTGATTTTAGATCTTTCTAAAAAAATTTTTTTTATTGTACTTTAGATGAAGGTTTACAGAACAAATAGTTTCTCATTAAACAGTCAGGACACACACTGTTTTATGACATTGGTTAACAACCCCATGACATGTCAACACTCTCCCTTCTCAACCTTGAGGAATTCTTTTTGGTGAAAATATACATAGCCAAAGTTACACCATTTTGAAAGTTTCTACATGTACAATTCAGTGACATTGATTACACTCTTCCAGTTGTGCTGCTATTCTCTCTATCCTTTTCCAAATTATTCCATCATCATTATCTTCAGCTCACTGTCCCCTAGGCTTCCCATCAAAGCTTTTGAGTTGCTGTTGTCAATTTGATCTCA